TACATACTCTGCAGGACGTGACAATGATTTACACGTAGTAGGAGTTCATTTCATTCTGTTGAACTCACTGAAGGCCATCTGCTTCAGGGCTTAGCTGGGCTTACGGAGGACAACAGAGTCATTTCCTGAGTGAGGTATGTGAAAGGGACCCAAAATACGAAGTGATAGAATACTAAAGAGCTAGTCACAGTCCCTTGAACACACCACCTGTGTCCTTTTTACTGTTCTTGTCTATCCGTGCTAGTTCCTTGTCCAAAGTGAACACCTTTCCAGTGGTGTGTTATCCGGTATTCACGCTGGATTTCTCCCTGGGGACCCTGCCCAAACCAGGGAACTGCAATCCCTCCCTCAGTCTCTGACACTTACTAGGTGGCAGCCACTGACAGAGCATACACAACTGTGGCTGACTTGTCATTTCTTTAGGGCTTGCCTCCTCAAGGGGACTGAGCCACCGATGGCAAGAACTTGCTCCCTGTGATCCCAGCCCCAGGGCTTAGGACATGGCTGTGTCTCTGTCTCTGTGGCCACATAGCCTGCCCCGTGCCAGTCCTCAGTTTTCCCACTGGCACAAAAGAGTTTCCTGAAGGAGTATGGGCTTCCCCTGTCCTGTGTGTCTCCACATCCTTGCAGATGTGGCCCAGAAAAGCCCGTGGCTGTCGAGAGTGGTAGGGCCACAGCCATGGGTTCTAGGTCGTTAAAAATAAAACCACAGGCCCAAAATGGTGTCTCTTAGGCCAAGCCACCAAACCCGGGCTTAATTGCCTTTTCAATCTCCCCCAGAAACGTAAATCTTAGCCTGTCAATCAGGAATTTTCTGATAAGCACCAAGGAGGTCATCTGTCACACGAGGGCCTCTCTGTCCCCCGAAGATGAGATAATCTAGGGGAAGGTGACTTTGCCTTTCTTTTCTTTGCCTTTCTCTTCTTTTGCTAATAACTATCTTGCTCCACCCTCCCTCTAGAAAACCCTTCCATTTTGTACAGCTCCTCACAGCAGTCCCTCTACTTAAGCGTCCTCCGCTAGATGGGATGCTGCCCATTCATGAATTGCTAAATAAAGTCAATTAGATCTTCAAATCTACTCAGTTTTGTTTTTTTAATTGTGTCAGGCGTGGAGTGTGGGCAAAGGCAAGGCTGGGGGCTGCCCATCAACCTCAGCCACCCCCCCCAACCTGTGGGAGAGGGCAGCCAAGACTTGGGGTGAGTGGGAATGTCCTCCAACCTCTCCCGGCTTCAAGCTTTCCTCCTGATGGGAGAAAGAACACAAAAACTTCTCCTTCCTCTCATTTCTCCTGACCCTTCCCAGAGGCAGTTGGGGCTGGGAGCAACCTGGTTGTGGGAGAAGCTGCTGACGCTTGCCTGAGGACCTGCGGTCTGGCTGTGACAGGTGCAGAGTGGTATCAGGACCCGCCCCACCTTGACCGGGGGGCGGGGCGCTGGGCGTGAACACTGCTCTTCTCACGTGAGGGCCAGCTCTGCGGGGCCACCTGCTTTCTCAGAGCCTTTGCTTACTCCTTACCTCAGGTGCGCTTCATAGCAATCCTGGCTGAGGTCACAGAGGGCGATCGTTCTGGTGAGGTCATCGAGGGGCAGTCATTCCCACCGCCTCACAGCTGGCGGCAACTGGCTGACTCAGCTAAGATCCCCTGGCCCCTGGAGCTAGAAACAGAGCAGGGCTCCGACCTGGCCCAGAGCTGTCTCTGGGGCCTATTTAAGGAACTGTCTTGTATTTCAAAACACTTTTTGCCGGGTACATCAAGTGTTTTTAGGATTAAAAATGGTTTCTCTTTTTCGAATTATGTGGTAAGAAAAAGAAGGATGCTTTATTCTCACACGTTCTTTGGATGGCAGCAAGACCTTTTAAAACTTCGTTCATGTAATCAGTAATGCCAAGCTTTGATGATAAATTATTAACTGAAAAGTTAAGTCCTTTGCTTCACACCTCCTTTCTCCCCAGGGCCAAAAAAAGGAGTCATCCCAGATTTTTGTAGCTGCTCTCCCTCTCCCTCTCCCTCTCCCTCTCTTCTTCTTCCAGAAGCCAAATGTACTCAGATACATCAAAATAGGTGAAAAGAATTAGAGCAGTGAGTGCATTTACTTTATGATTTTCTCCTTACCTTGGCTTTGCATTTCCAAAAGGGTGAGTTGGCTCTACTTGGTTTGAGGATGGCCTTTCCTGGAATCCTGCAGACATCTTCATTGCCTTGGAGGTCAGATAACGGCTATTTATTTTCCATAGTCATGGAAGTCTCTGGGGAGAGCCATGGCAGTTTGACAAGGACTATTAAAGGGACATTAGGATTGAAGTGGCTGCTCAGGAAATCACACACCCTTGCTCCCCGTCTGTGGGGACAGCTGCCAGCCGGGGTCTCCCGCCCTGTGACCAGCTGTGTGTGGATGTGGCTGCCGCAGGGGAAGAACCCTTTGTCTCCTGTTCTCTTACTCCCCGCAAGAGGATGGCTGCCTTAAACTCAAATATAAAATTCATAATAGCAGCTAACAGTTCCCGAGCACTTAGTCAGGCGTGTGCTGTATTATTCCATTGAGCAAATGCTTATCCCATCCCTATTCCCGCACCCAGAGCCTGGATGAAGACGACAGAAGGGAAATCTGTGTAGGTAGGCCCTCTCTGCCCTCTGCTTGCAGACCCTCTGGGACAGGAAACTCACCATCTGCACCAAGCACCCCATGCATTTCCACACAGCTAGGAATATACATCCCGGACTTGGGCTAATTAGCTGGGTCACTCCCCTCTGTACACCCAGAGCGCCTATGGATCCCTCAGTGGCACCGCTGAAAGTCTACTTCTGGGCCTGTCCTCCCTGCTGGGGTGCAGCTGCAGGGGGGTGGGTGGGGTGGGGTGTCTTTCTCTCTGTCTGCCCAGCTCCCAGGGTGTATTTGGTAGCGAGCAGGCACTTAAGTGAATGCGGTGAGAGCCATTGCCAGGGGAAGGCCCCTGTGGGGAGCCAGGGTGCCTGAACTTTCCAGGAAGCATAAATGTTCTCAGGGGCAGGGCCCCCACGGCTCCCAGGAACCTGCCACAGGGCGTCTGCGTTTTGAGCCTCTCGGTGAGATTTAGGCGATGTAGGGTTTTAACAAGGGACTAGTGTCCTTTCCCATGGAGGCAGTGAAGGGTCTGCACTGCTCCAGTCGGGTGAGGGACAAAAGAAGGAAAGGCTCTTCCCGAGAGATTTCAGTTGTGGAAGGCACAAAGCGCGACAGGCGCCAAGCGGGGCCAGATGTGTCCCCAGCAGTGCCGGTGGGCAGGACAGAGCGTGGGCCCGCACCTCCCCGACGGGAAGCTCACCCCCTGCCCCACTCACAGCCCATCTCCCCGGGAGGCTGCCGTGACACCGGACAAAGGCCGAGGGTCAAGAGGGTGACCTTGGACAAATCACTCAGGCCCTCCAGTCTTTTCTTTGCTCATCTGCGGAGGCCATAAAGCCCACTTTGCAGGACCGTTAGCGCGCCAAATGGAAAAGCCTTGTGGAGGAGTGAGAAGTCCTCGGTCGGGGCCAGCGGTCTCCGGGGTGCATGGGAAGAGGGGGCCTGTGATGCCTCTGTACCCGGTGTCCTGGGTAAATTCACAGGAAGGAGGAGAAAGGATGACTGTCCTAGAAGCGTTTGCCCACCACCAGATGCCTGGCTAATTTCCCCCAACCCCTGCCTGGGCTGAGGAAGCCCACCCTGTCCTCGAGGCTGGGAGCGGGGCACTGGCCCCACGGCGGCCTCTGCAGGGAGACCCAGACTCGGGGGTGAGGCTCTGTCCCCGGGGCAATGTGCCCTCCTCAGCCTTTGCTGCTTCCCTCCAACACCGCTGGGAGACCCGTCTGTCTTGTGTCTGTGTGTTACCTCTGTGAGGAGCCATTGGGAGAGATGGAGCGCTGTGAGGAGACGCCAGATCAGGGGCACCCAGGCCACCACCTGGCCTCCTTCGCCCCTGGCAATCCTCGCTAACTGATCGTGACCCAGCCCAGACTTGACCTCAGCATCTTTTCAACACAACAGTCTAGGCTACCTCAGCCGACAACTGGAGTTGGCACGCGAGGTGAAACCTTCTTGCCAATTTTGCTATAAGGAAACATGCCTCTTTGCCAAAATGTAACACAGTGTTAATAACTGCTTCTTAGCGTGCTCTTGTTATAGTCCAGGCATCTTGTTAAGGGTTTTGTGGGCATTAGCAGCTTTAATCCTCACAAGGTCAGGAGGCGGATGCCGTGAGTGTGCTGATTTAATGATCAAATGAGGCACAAGATAGACTACGCCTGCCTTCACTCCACAAGTGTTCACTGAGTCCCGACTTTTGCCAGGAGCTCCAGCAGGAGCTGCAGGGAAGGGCGTGGGACAGAATTCAGCTCCGGCCTGCTCGGAGCTCACAGTCTAGGAACCAAGCAAGCCCCGATCTGCCCCCAGATGTCTGATCCAAGGTTCTCACCCGGCTCTGCGCCGAGCCCTCGGAGGAGGGGCAGAGAAGAACCCAGAGGCCAGAACTTCTGGCCAGAAGGAGCACGCATGGTCTTTGAGGGTTCATGACCAGAGATTGCACCTCCACCTCAAGCTTCTTTCAAAGCATCTGCCAGCATTATAACCAGGAAACTTGGGCTTCTAGGGGAAGTTGAGAGGGGCCTATATTAATTTCCTAAGGCTACCATGACAAAGCACCACAAGCTGGGTGTCTTAAAATTACAGAAATTTATTGTCTCGAAGTTCTGGAGGCTAGAAGTCCAAGGTGTTAGCAAGGTTGGTTCCTTCTGAGGGAGATTCTGTTCTTTGCCTCTGCTAGCTTCTGACATTTGCTGGTAATCCCTGGCATTGACGTTCCTTGGTCTAAAATGCGTCCCTCCAACCTCTGCCTCGGCATTACTTGACTGTCTTCTCCTCGTGTCTGTGTTCCCCTCTGTGGGGGTGTCCGTGTCCAAATCTCTCTCTTCTTATAAGAACACCAGTCGTATTGGATTAGGGCCCACCCTAAGGACCCCATCGTAACTTGACTACATCTGCAAAGACCCTATTTCCAGAGAAAGTCACATTCACAGGTACTGAGGCTTAGGACTTCAGTGTATTTTTCTGAGAGACACAATTCAACCCATAACAGACATAACAGGGCCTCTGGCCTTTTGTTTTTTCTTCTTTTCTTAAAAAAAAAAAAAAAATATATATATATATATATATATATAAATATAAATTCCTTTTGGAATAGGCAACACATTCACGTGGAACAAAATTAAAAGATATAGAATGTCTATCCCTCCTAACCTTGGTCCTGAGCCACTGAGTTCCCTTGCCTTGGAGGCACCAGTATTAGAATTTCTTGGTTGCCCTTCTAGAGATATTCTCTGCATGTACAAGCACCTGGGTACATATAACAGAGAATATTCCACTTGGTGTTTGCACCAGGTTTTGTTTTGTTTTGTTTTTCCTTCTTGTGGCATCTCTTGGAAATCGTTCCGTTCTTTTTCATGGCTGCATCATAGCATTTGATTCTGTTAGTGTGCCGTCACTTAACCAGCTCATTCTTTGATGGAACTTTCATTGGCTTCCAAACTTTGCTATGACAAACAGCTGTAAAGAGAAACCTTGCACATACATCACTGTATTAATCATGTTTTTTATTTTCTGTATTTTATGATGCTGTGACATCTTGGGGCTTTGATGGTCCTCCTAGGGTTAGATAATTCTTAGGGGTAGTTAACACGTTGCCTGAGAGCACTCCTTTCATATGCAAACCACCTCCTTTATTACCTCTCTCACACCAAGTCAATATTCTCCCTGCCCTAAAAATCACCCCTGGGCCAGGTACCAAACAACTAGGGGCCACCCCTTTAGCACGGAGCCCACTGACATTCTATTCAAATTAGCCAATCCTAAATCTGTCCACCCTGGCTTGCCTTGCCTTTCCCATGGAAATCACAATGAAAGCTTGTGCCCACACTTTCTCCTTATTCCTTTCAGCCTTCTGCATGACCCTGGTGCTTCCCCCATGTGGCACGGCTGGCCCCCTCCTCTTGGGAATGGTAAGCAATAAACTATTCTTGTAAAGGCAGTTGTCATGGCAACCTAGGAGGCGATAGGTGTGTGGACTAACCTGATTGTGGTAATCATTTTGCAATATATATGTGTATCAAATCATGTTGTACACCTTAAACTTACAGTATGTTATATGGCTATTATATCTCAAGAAAATGAAAAATATACAGGCAATGGTCTCCATGTCTATCATCTTACCATGCCTGATTAAAACAAATCCCAGGGCGCCTGGGTGGCTCAGTCGTTAAGCGTCTGCCTTCGGCTCAGGTCATGATCCCAGGGTCCTGGGATCGAGTCCCGCATTGGGCTCCCTGCTCGGCAAGAAGCCTGCTTCTCCCTCTCCCATTCCCCCTGCTTGTGTTCCTGCTCTTGCTATTTCTCTCTCTATCAAATAAAAAACAAAAACAAACAAAAAAAAACCCCAAAAAACAAATCCCAGGTGCATGTTAAAATAGTCATTTTGTGCAGCCCTTGCTTTCAGTTAAGGGGAAAATTTGAGCAATCTTTTGCTTGGCTCCAAGGAAGCAGTGCTTTATGTGTAGAGAGAAAAAAGAAAAGCAATGGGAGATGCTTGAGAATAAATATGTTCATTTTTTATTCTGATTATAAAAATAATACCTTTTTAGTAGAGAAAATCTGAAAAATGAAGAAGAAAATTTTTAAAAATTAAAACCAACCATTCCTCAAAAAGTTAAACACAGACTTATCCTATGATCCAACAATTTCTCTCCTTAGGTACATACCCCAAATAATTGAAAGCAGGAACTCAAACATACACTTGTACACTAATGTTAACAGTGGCATTACTCGTAATAGCCTAAAAAGGAAAACAACCCAAATGTCCATCAGTGGATGAATGGATAATAGTGGTACACATATAATAGAAAATTAATCAACCATAAAAAGGAAGGATATTCTGATACATGCCACAACATGGATGAATCTTAAAAATATTATGCAAAGTGTCTTGGTCTATTCAGGCTGCAGTAACAAAAGACCATCAAATGGGTGGCTTATAAACAACAGAGCTTTATTTCTCACCATTCTGCAGGCTGGAACTCCAAGACTATGATATCCGCAGATTCCATGTCTGGTGAGAGCCCACTTCCTCGCTGATGGTCATCATGTCACTGTAACTTCATAGGTACCGGGGTGATGATGCTCTCTGCAGTCTCTTTCATAAGAGCATGAATCCTATGCATGAGGGCTCCACTCCCGCCCAAAGGCCCCACCTCCAAATGCCATCACCTTGGGCATTAGGATTTCAATATATGAATGGGTGAGGGGAGGGCAGATAAACATTCAGTCTGTTGCACTAAGTGAAATAAGCCACAAAAGAAAAATATTGTATAATTCCACTTACATAAGGTACCTAGAATAGGCGAACTCATAGAGACAGAAGGTAGAATGGAGGTTGGAGGGGCTGGGCGGACAGGGAGTTGGAGTTATTGCTTCACGGGTATAGAGTTTCAGCATGGAATGAAGAAAAAGCTCTGGAAATAGATGAAGGTGACGATTACATGGCATTGTGAATGTACTTAATGCCACTGAATAGTATACTTAGAAATGGTTAAAGTGGTAAATTTTATGTCATATATATTTCACCCCAATAAGAAAAACATTAAAACCATCCATAAATCATGCTGTTCAGAAGAAAAGGTAATCTGGCTTATTTTAACCTCTTTTTTTTTTTTTAAGATTTTTTATTTATTTTTTGACAGAGAGAGACACAGTGAGAGAGGGAACACAAGCAGGGGGAGTGGGAGAGGGAGAAGCAGGCTTCCCGCAGAGCAGGGAGCCCGATGTGGGGCTCGATCCCAGGACTCTGGGATCATGACCTGAGCTGAAGGCAGAGGCTTAACAACTGAGCCACCCAGGCGCCCCTATTTTAACCTCTTTTAACCTCTTCCCCGCCCCCGCGAGCATGTGTGTGTTTTATAAAATTTGGTTTATAATATGCATACAGTAGTGAGCTTTTTAGTTTGACATTTTTATTGTGAATGTATTCATGTCATTAATTAAATTGAAATCACCTCCTTTAAGGGCTGTATAATTTGCACACATGGCTGTGCAGTGATTCCCCTCTTTTTGGATATTGACCCTATTTCTGATTTCTCACTATTATAAATTACGCAGTGATGAACATCTTTGTAGATAAATATTTGCCTGCATTCTGGTTGTTTCTTGAAGATAGATTTTTAGAAGGAGAATCACTTGGTCAAAGGGTACGGATTTTTAAAACTCTATGCCCAAAATCAGATTGCATTCTAAAAAATTTAGAATTTTATACTTTGAATACTAGAAATGGATATTTTGGACAGTATTATGGGAGGGGATGCAATTTTTACTGTACTCATCGATATTAAGTGTATATCATATAAAATATTATTAATTTGGAAGGCAAAAAGTATCATCTTTTAATTGACATGGATTTGATTACTGATGAGGTTAAACATTTTTTATGTTTAGAGTCATGGCCATTCTGTGAAATGTCTGTTTGTGTTCTTTGCCCAATTTTCTATTGGGGTTTTAGATTCTTATAGATTAAGAATAATGGCCACTTGTCATTTTGTAGCAATTGTATCTCCCAATTTACTATTCACCTTTTAGTTTTAGTAAACCTATTTTTTTTATGTAAGTTTAAGTTTTTTAATGTAGAAAAGGTATTGATTTTCCCTTTGGATTTTTTCCATTGCCTTTATGCTTATAAAGTCCTTACTGCTTTTGAAAGCATATACATTTTTCACCTTTATTTTCTTTTTCGAAGTCACTTTTTAAAAAAGATTTTATTGGGGCACCTGGGTGGCTCAGTCGTTGGGTGTCTGCCTTCGGCTCAGGTCGTGATCCCGGGGTCCTGGGATCGAGCCCCGCATCGGGCTCCCTGCTAGGCGGGAAGCCTGCTTCTCTCTCTCCCACTCCCCCTGCTTGTGTTCCCTCTCTCACTGTGTCTCTCTCTGTCAAATAAATAAATAAAATCTTTAAAAAAAAATAAAAAAGATTTTATTATCAACTTGAGAGGGAAAGAGAGAGAGAGAGTGAGCGAGAGCGCAAGAGCAGGGAGAGGGAGAAGCAGACTCCCTGCTGGGGCTCCATCCCAAGATCCTGCGACCATGACCTGAGCCTAAGGCAGACGCTTAACGACTGGGCCCCCCAGCGCCCCTCACCTGTATTGTCTTTGAATTTTTTTAATGGTCCTAATTTATACATTTGTGTTGGTTTCCTTGCGCTGCTGTAACAAAGTACCACAAACTAGATGGTTTATTGTCTCGGGCGCCTGGCTGTCTCAGTCAGTTGAGTGTCCAACTCTTGATTTCAGCTTGGGTCTTGATCTCAGGGTTGTGAGCTCGGCCCCGAATTGGGCTCCATGCTTGGGCATGAAGCCTACTTAAAAAAAAAAAAAAGGAAATGTATTGTCTCAAGGTCTGGAGGCTAGAAGTCAGGTGATAGTAGGCTGTGCTTGCTCTAAATCTCTAGGGAAGGATGATCCTTCCTTGCTTCTTCCAGCTCCTGGGAGCCTCCAGGTTCCTTGGCTTGTAGGAGGGTGTAACTTCCATCTCTGTTTCTGTCCTCTCGTGCTGTCTTCGTCTAAGGATAGCGGCCATATCGGATTAGGGGCCCACCATCCTCTAGGATGACCTTATCTTAACGAATTATGTACACAGTGACCCTATTTCCAAAGAAGGTCACATTCTGAGGTGCTGGGGGTTGGGATTTCAATATATATAATTTATTTCTTTCTTTATTTTTTCCGTGGGATACAATTATACCTGTAACAACATCTAACTCTTTCATCAACTGGAATTTGCTGATTTGGATGTGTGGTGTGAAAAGAAGGTATAATTTCCCCCCAGATAGTTCACTGATTGTCCCTCTGCCTCTTATTGCTGCCTCTTCCAGCAGGACTGGAATCCACTGGATTCTCGCGCACGAACTTCTGCTTGCGAGCATGACCCACAGGGGTGTTTGCCAGTCCTTGAGTCAGGGCTACGCTATTTCCATAATGTTAGCTCCACTGTATATTTAATATCTGATAAGGCAAAATTTCTCTTCATCCATCTTCAAGTTTTTTCTTTGCCGTTCTTGCCTAGGAGTGAACCTCAGAATAACTGTGGCATGTTTAACAACAACAAAGCAATGAACCCCCTTGGACTTTCCAGTGCATGGTGTTCACTCACCAAGTTCACGGCACATTCGCTCGTGCCATTTCGGAACGCCTTTCCATCCAACGCGTTATGGCATGTGTTTTAGAAAGTTCACCAGGTTTTAAGATAGAGTTTTCCCATTTCCCATATTTGTTGGTAAAGTCAATCCCGGGCTATTTTGCTATTGTTATTACTGTTGTGATTATGCTCTCTGCCCCCCATGCAGCCCCCACATTTTATTTTCTAATTGATTGTTGCGAGTTGATGAGGAAGCTATTGAATTTTGCATGCAGCCACTTTATTAAATTCGCCTGTTAGTTCTAATAGCATTTCAATTTATTCTTGTAGGCTCTCTGGAGCCTTTTGCACAAACCAATTCAAATGAATAATTAACTCTCCGGCTGAATCAATGACCTTCCTTAAATCAGGTCTCTTATAAATTTAGGAGTTTGGCTGCAGGAGAATGAATGCTGTGTAAACACAACGTGAATAGGGGCCTTGGATAATTCTGGTAGCCTGAAGAATGCTTATATTCTTTAATTCCTGATTTCATTGCTCAAATTTGGGCTAGGAAAAAAAAATCAGAACTGTGGACAAAAGAATTCAGGTAATCAAGACGTGTATTGCGATGTTTTTTATTTATAACAATGAAAATTGGAGACAACCTAAGTTACTAACATTAGTGAATTGGTTAGGTCACGTGTTTCCTTTGCTTTCACCTCAGCCCCCTGGTCCTCTCCTTCTACCCACACCATATAGGCCTTGACCTCTCCCTCCAGCTGCAGCCTCAAATATCCTGCTGGTGGCAGGAGGCTCTGGTTCCATTCCCGAAGCTCTCTACACCTCCGCGTGGTGCAGTCAGAGCTCAGCCTCTTCCTCCTCTGCCTTGGTCAGCCGGTGGACACGCTGTGAAGCAGAGGTTTGCGTCTAGTTGCGGGGGAGGACTTGGAGAAGCATCTGTATGGGAGCGAGGGAAGAGGACTGGGCAGGAGAGGAAGCTGAACGGTGATATAGTTACAGCAGAGTCATCAGCTGAGCCCAAGGGGAGATCTACAGCTGGGATGGCCCTTCAGACTTGAGCTAAAGAAGGGTGAGGGGGCTGGGCTCTGGTATCCCCCACATCCTCCAGGCATTGGATGGGGGCTGTACTTTGAGAGGGTGTGACTTCGGGGGAGGACAGTTCCTGGAGAGAGAACCAGCTGTGAGCAGCCAGCACTCGCAGCAGGGAGACAAATGCCTCCCTCTGGAAGGGGAGCTGGTTGGCAGTGCTGCTTCCCTTTAGGTGTCATCTTGACTCAGGCACCGTGAGCTCAGATATTGGGTTAAATATTATTCTAGGCGTGTCTTTGAGGGTGTTTTCTGGGTGAGGTTAACATTTGAGTCAGTAAACTGAGGAAAGCAGATTTCCCTCCCCGGTGTGAGTGGGCCTGTCCAATCTGTCGAAAGCATGAATAGCAAGAAGTCTGAGTCATAAAGAATTCTTTCTCTCTACCTCACTGTCTTCGAGCTGAGGCATTGGTCCCCTCCTGCCTTCAGACTCAGAATAGGACTGGAACTTCACCGTTGGCTCTGCTGGGTCCTATTCTGAGTCTGAAGGCAGGAGGGGACCAATGCCGGCCACATGGGAAGGGAGAGAGGCCAAGGTGCCTGGCACGATGAGTCACACTGTGGACCTTCCAGTCCCGTCAGAGGCTGGGTGCAGCCCAGTGAATGAGCCTAGGTGAAGCTGGAGCAGCAGAAATACCCAGCTGAGCTCTGATAGAATCATGAGAAATAATAAATTGTTACTTAAGGCCACATTTTAGGCAAGTTTGAAATGCAGGAATAGAAATAACTGAAATACCTTCCAGCGCACTCCTTTTCCTCCATCACCTGTCCCAGTCTGTGGCACCATGATCCCCCCAAATCATCCGAGCGAGGCCCCGCAGGGTTGCCGGGGACACCTCCCCCTCACTTCTAGGCCACGTTGCCAAGCTCCGCCAGTGTTACCCCCTACATCATTCTGGAGGCTGTCTCTCCTCGATCTGCCCGTCGCC